GGATACAGCCGAAACTGCAGGTTGCACGGGCCGCCGTCGTCCAATTGCACGGTAGTTAGAACGCAATTAAAGTTACATAATCTCCCGCGGCCGCTCGTTCGCGCGAACCGAAGGAGCGTTCGCCAAAGAGCCCTTCGGCATCGGCATCGGCCATCATCAATAACGCGTTAGTTGTTGACCGAAAAGTCTTCTTGGAACCCCGCAGGTGCGCCTTGCGGCGACCCCGTCGCAGGTGCGGCACGCTTTTCACGACAACCCGCAGGGGCGGTTCGCGCGCCTCTCAATTTTCCTCGATTCGCTCGCGACAAGCGTGTGACATTTAATTACCATTCGTTTTTTATTTCCGCACAAAGTGTGCTCGCGTTCGATAATGGCGGTGCGGACGGACGGGCGACGATTACGTTCTCAACGTAACCGTTGACCGGTCACTCCGTCATTAACGCCGTCGACATAAAACGTTTATATTGCGCCGCGCATCACGCGGCAAAAAAATAGCGGTTATCGTAACGGACCGGTTCGCGCGCGGCGATTACGATTCTTGACGATCGCGCGATTATAGTCGCGTTATCCTCGGCGCATCGAGGATAGTAGTTATACACCGCGAGGAAGACGCGTTTCTCTATCAACGCGCGATTCTCGCCGGACATAACGTACTCCTTTTTTTAGGGTGTCCCTCGGCCGGGTATCCCGTCGATTAAATCATACAGCGGAAGGACCCCGCTTTACGGACGCGCGGAGGCCGAAGTGTTATTACTCTCCTTAACGCAGCTTCCGAGCAGAAATTCCGGGCCGCGCGCCCCGTAACAACGCCGAAAAAGATGATTAATAACGCTCACGGCCACGGAGAAGCGCCGCGATAGGTATTACGCGCGGGGATCAGTCACACGCCGCTTCCTTCCAACCCAAAATTCACGGGGTTCGTGACGGTGAAACATTAAGCGTGCAACTGCCGGGGCTACTCGTGTATACCTGCTCGGCGCGTCGTAAAATTTCGAGGAAAGTCGCGCGCCGCATCTCCTTTCACTTATCCGTCAAACACCTCGTTAGAAGCGTTACTATTAATGTGAATGGAATTAATATGGATATATAATATGGAAGTAGAATAAGTACGAATTTGCGTATATGCGTTTTAATAAAGATTATCAATAATTTCTAAGTGACTGAAATCAATCTTTTTCGAATTTCTTGTTTAAAATTAAGATGCAAGTGCCCTACTTTTTAATTTGTTACTCTTATAATAAAATGCATTAAAGCAAGATCTTATACGATAAATGCATACACTTGGGCGGTGCTCTTACCCTTTTCTAAAAATAAATATGTGAAAAAAAGAACGTTCAGAAAGCGCATGGAAGAAACGTGCTGCAGCATGCGTCGCAAGTTTAGCGTGTGCGTGAGAAGACAGTTGTTAATACCGGTTAACAATTAATAAAAGAAGCTACTGACAGGAGGGATACGGTGCTCGCGTGAGAGCATACACACGGGGAGCCTTCAAAAAATTCGATGTTCATGTTCACCATCGGCGGTGCGAGCTTACGTGATCGCATACATTTTTTCGAAGGGCGTACGAGCGACGTTCGGATCCGCGGAAAGAAAAAGAAAAGAAAAAGGTACGATGCAAAAGGAGAACGCCGGAGCACGTCGTAGAAAACGCATGCTCCTCGTTCGGATTCACGCCTCGGTAGGCCCGGCGCGCTCTGGCCGCGCACGCAACATAAAAGTTTCCAATTATAATGCACGGCATGATACTTCATTTCGTCCGTCGTCAATTAAAAGCCACGAAACGCCCGACGGCGGCCATCGCTACCGAGTAATTTGCGCGCCGGTAGCGATGGACTATCCTCCGAAAGAAATGCCTGAAAGACAGAGAAAGGGGGAGAGAAAGAGAGAGGAAGAGAGAGAGAGAAAGAAAGAGAGAAAGAGAGAAAGAGAGAAAGAGAGCGAGCTTATTATCGAACATTCTGCCGTGGGCCTCATCGAGACATTGTACAATCGGGAGCATTAATGCCGTCCGGACCGCCTGTCGTTCGCAGAGAGATTTTATGATACATGCAATCTACCCAGATTCTTTTACGAAATAAAATAATCTAGTTAAGATATAGAGTTTTAATAGCTCTTGGTGAAAAAACGCTTTTTTTTTAATATTACAGAGAGAAATCCGATTACTGAATATTAAGTACTGATCAGCATTAATACTTCCGATTCTACTGTCGGAGAACGTAACAGCCAAAGAGAGGGAGAGAGGGAGAGAGAGAAAGAAAGGTGAACGTCTTCTGATGAGATAATTGCGCAGAAAGCGATCATAGACGTGATTTGCAATCATAGCATTTACTCTAAATGGCGTGAATTTATAACCGCTAAATCTCCATTCAAATAATAATTTTAACCATTAATTGAAATTAATTTACTATCATCAAACTTAAGGTTCGCGTTCTGACAATAACTGATGACTATGATCAATCATTGAGTGAGCAATGTCGCATTTATTATACGGCGTAAAAGATATTAACCCTTAAATGCCACCCGGGGTCCAGCGGACCCCAAACCCTTTACAATGATATATTTTCAAATGTTCCCCCCAAAAATGGAGCTCATGCTCCCTTTGATGATAGTTGAGTGATTGACCTACCCGGTTGTACACTTAGCAGTACTCAGTTTACTTAATTTTTTATACGATGTTGAAATTGAAATTTTAACAATATAAGCATTTTATTCTCTTTTTTAAGCCTTGAACAACATTGAAAATAATTTTCATAACTAAATATCAAAAAATTAATGAGTAAGGAGACATTTTTCATGCTGGGGTCTTTTAGACCCCATGTGTCATTTACGAGATTCTTGAAAGGTGTGGCATTTAAGGGTTAAACAGCAGCTACGTAAGTTACAAATAAGCACCATCTAACACGTGTCACCTAAATATTCTTGTATATTCAGGGTACATCTTAAAGTGTTTTTTCTAAAAATATAACATCGCGATAAATTGTTTCCTTTTCTATTCAAGCAGATGTTACGATTGATTTGAAAAGAAGACGTACGTCTCGTTTGCAATATCAGATATAAATTTGTGTAATATTCTCGCAAATTGCTTGTTCGCTCGTCGCATCTTAGCCTCGGTTGATGCCAGAGTTAATTAACAACACCGTGGATCAATCGATTAAACAAGGGTGGTCTCATTTGGGCGCGAGAGAGATACATTTATCATCTTTACCGTAATATTTATCGGAAGGGACACGAATAACGAGACGGCGCGGCGGGCCCGTGTATAACGAGCGTTCGCCGCGAGGCGATACGACCCTCGGGGATGCTTGAGCGGCGATTAATCGTTAAAAATTGCGGTCTATCTTGATCCTCGATCGAAATGTGCGGCGCGCATGCGAGCGACCGTATTAACATACGGCATTAGATATTCCGCATGCGAAGCTCGCGCTTATAGGTAAGCGCGCGCGATATTCGCACAGCTTCACTCGGATTTCTACAGTAATTACACGCGCGTAATGGGTACCCTCGCGCGCCCGCGCCGTCGATACGGTTAGCGCGACAGCTCAGATCGTGCGCGGGACAAATGGTATCGAACGATAACGATAATGACGATAATGCCGTTTAAAGGTGCGTAGAATATAACGGTATATGTAACGGGTATATCAATATCAGTATAACTATTGACAATTACGAAGCGTAGGAGCGTAAGAGAAAAAAATACTTCTCTCAAGAGAATTATGATGTATGAAAGTAACACTGCGATGTCAGTTAACGTACAATCGTGTGCGATTAGCGACGCATACGGTCTAATGAGGCGCGACGAAATAACGCAAACGTACGTAATCAGCGTACACGAGGGGCGATTAATTCGATTTGCCGATATACCGATTGCATATTAAACGACGTGGTGTGAAAATACGGAAGCTATTTTCCTGATATTGTAAATTCGTTTAGCATTCGAGCTCTCACCGTTAATCAACCGTGAAAAACCATATGAGGATACGAAGATTGTACGCTGGTTTAGCCTTTAGCGTTGCGTCGCACATGGCGGCTTCCAATTTTTGTGACAAGGAGAGACGGAAATTACGGTGTTGCACATTCGCCGACCATAACTCCGTGTGTTAACTTCCTCCATTTACTTCAAGTGTACGCACTGTACATACATATGGAGGGGTAAAAGCCATAGTAGTGTAAGTCAAATTTTTTAAGATTTAAAAATTTGACTTACACCACTATGGGTTTTTTCGCTCCATATATACCTATGTATGTGTGTGCATAAAATTTTAAAATGTTAAAGTATTGCAATAATTATATGTATATATATAATAGTTATGTAATATTATATAATATTATAATTATATAATATTATATATGTTATCGACACACAAAATCTGTAATAGTCACACACAGATTGGATATTATGTTTTTCATAAGTTTCAATCAAAGTCTTAGTATTTAATGTATACAATTACTTTTGTAAAAAAAAGTGATACATTTAGCATATAACCATTGTCTTTCATTAATTCATTAATTATTTAAACGTATTATGCACTTATATCACACATTTTTATGCGTGTCTGTAAAAACGTTAATTTTTTCAAATTTATTTCATGGAATATAATAACTTTCTTTAAAATAAAACTAGATAAAAAGAAAAAAATAATTTTGTGCAAATATCGATATTATATACACGCATGCAAGATTTGCCTATAAATGTATAATCGCTGTCCGTACTCGAGCAGAAGAAAGTTTAATTCACGTGTTAATAGGTATTTAACCCACTCGAGTGGGCCGAACTTTAGGCTGTCGCGAAAAAAATTCGTGTACGCGTCCATTTCCTGAACTCGCCCAGGCGACTTTTTTGCCAGTGTACGTAAAGCAAGACCCCGTACGGATAATATAGGCGATGAGGTGCAGGGAAAGTGCTAAGCTATTATAGCGCGGAGTATATAAGGCTCAGCTTAGAAAACGAAGCGGTTCAGTTAGTGGTCGTACGCCACGCTAAAATATACGTGAACTCGAGAATGAATATCAAGGTAATTTAATTCATCCAGTATCAAGTACCATTTTATAATATGAGATTAGAGTATCTAAAAAATGTCCTTCTTTGCCTGCAACCTACAAAATGATTTTCTCATTTCCAAGTAGAACGAAATATCTTAAATCTAGTGTATTATAATATAATACTTTTGATATGATATTTTTTAATTTTTATTATGTACTACTTATTAATTACTAATTATATAAAATTTTATTGTAATATTATTTTGACATGACTTCAGCTTGCCATCATTTTGGTGGCAGTGGCCACGCAAGTTATATGCGCGGAGGATAAGAACAAAGCGGAGAACAAGAGCTCGCAAAATGTCGAAGCAGAGGCAACAGAGAAGAAAACGGAAAAACGTGGACTCCAGCATAGTTTCGGTGACTTAGGCGGAGGCGGCGGCGGGGGTGGCGGCGGCGGTGGCGGCGGTTACGAGGAGCACGAACATGTGAAGACGGTGACGGTTGTAAAGAAAGTGCCGGTACCTTATGAAGTAACGAAACACGTACCCTATCTGGTGGAGAAGCATGTACCGTACGAGGTGAAGGTCGGCGTGCCGCAGCCCTATACCGTCGAAAAGCATGTCCCCTATCCTGTGAAGGTGTTCGTCAAAGTGCCGGTCCACGTGCCGCAGCCGTACACCGTCGAGAAGAAGGTGCCGTATGAAGTGAAGGTGCCGGTGGACAAGCCCTACGAGGTCAAGGTATACGTGCCACAGCCCTACACCGTGGAGAAGCACATACCGGTGCCAGTGAAGGTCCCAGTGCCTCAGCCCTACACCGTCGAGAAGCACGTGCCCTTCCCGGTGAAGGTGAAGATACCAGTACCTCAGCCCTATCCTGTGGAGAAACCGGTGCCCTACGAGGTGAAAGTACCGGTCGACAAGCCCTATCCCGTCGCTGTGCCGAAACCCTATCCCGTCACCGTGGAAAAACCCTATCCGGTACCGGTCGAGAAACCGATTCCGTACGAAGTGAAGGTGCCAGTCGACAAGCCCTACCCCGTCCCAGTGGAAAAACCATACGCAGTGCCGGTAAAAGTACCAGTACCGCAACCATACCATGTTCACAAAGCAGTACCGGTACCTGTGGAAAAACCATATGCAGTGCCGGTGAAAGTGCCGGTCGACAAACCGTATTTCGTCGAGAAGGAGGTTCCAGTTCCGGTCGAAAAGGAAGTACCGGTACCGGTTAAAGTTCCAGTAGCCGTGCCTGTTCACATACCGAAGCACGAAGATCACGGCGGTGGCGGATTTGGTGGCGGTTACGGCGGATACGGTGGTGGCGATGGAGGCGGATACGACTTGCACGGTGGTTTTGGTGGCGGCGGTGGCGGTGGCGGTGGCGGTTACGATTCGTATCACGGTTGATCATCGCGACGACGAAGCACGGAGCGGACGCGCGAAGCGAGCATCGAGAACCGTTTTTTTTTCGCGTTCTCACTCCCTCGATGTTAAATGATCGCGTGTTTTTCTCCGAATTGAGATACTTTTCGCCGAATTGGTTTACCAATTCTCGAGAAGTAATCTCGAGAGCTGTACGAAATTTTAGCTGCTTAAGCAAAGCTCTTTGTTCTGAGATTATTAGCGAATTAGGAGAAATATGCAGGTGACAATTAGCTGTCGCGATTGACGAGTTTACCAACGTATTTTTGTATTATACTTCCGGAAACCCAGGTAAACGTAGCAGTTATTCGGTAATGCTCTTAGATTGCGTATTATATATATATAAGTTAAGTGAAATCGATTGTTCTATATGGAGTGTGCTCTCCGCGGTAACGAATTGCGCATGATTAAATTAACTTAATTAACACATCCAAAGCCTAAAACGAATGTTCTGCATACTACTCTTTATGCCTTAAAAAGTATACACAAGTACATGCAGATTTTAGCGCACGTCATTCGGCTTAATGTTCGCGGCAATCCGTTATGTCCACGCATAGTATTGCTGTGAGGTATGTATACTGATGTGAGGAACGTTGTACCTAAGTAAGTTAAGTGAAAAAACTCATTGTGAAAAGAATATATACGTATCTTTTTATATCAAAGGTTTAATAAATATTCTGCCCATTACACCTTACTTTTCTCGATCCTTATCTTAATAGGAGATCTAAAAAATACCTCGCTTTTTTCTTATCGCACGGAATGAAATGGAACGCGAGATAACGCAGAGAGATAAAATAACACACCGTCCGTTATGGTGTATGACGCGCAGATTCATGTTAATCATATCAAACATGTTGCGCACATAGCTAGCGAGAGTATAAATCAACGTCAAGATTCACTTTCTCGAGAAAATTTCGTCGGCCGTTGAGCGAGAGTTTCGCTCTTCTAAATTCATTGTTCTCGTCGGTGAAGAAACGCGCGTTTCTTTTGCGTGCTGTATATTACTCGAACATTGACGACGTGAAAGAAAAACGAAAAGATTCGACCGCGGAGTCCAAAAAGTACGAGTCAAGAGTCGCTCGTAAATTACGGCGACGCTTTCCGCGTTTGCCTTCCGGTCTAGCGAGCGCGGTAAAAGCCGCAACATTATTGATGTTAGCCTGTCGAGAGATCGTTAAGTCCCCGGACGTAGAAACGCAAAAATCACACGCGCAAAAAAGGGAGGTGGGAAAGGGAAAGGAGGAGGTGTGAATCTGAGTCTCGAGACAGAAGCTGCGCGAACTTCCGCAAACACTTTCGATTCCCGTGCAAATCTTAATCCTTATGCCCGGGCCCGCAATTAAGAGCACTAGATACACGAGCGTTGCGTTCAAGAAAGCATTACTTTCTCCGTCGGGACCATCCAGCCTGCCGCGCACACACGTAAAACGTATCATATCTCAACGTGTGTCTATACGAGACGTATCTCGCCACTCCTTTCACCAAGTCGGTCTTTCCCGATTGAGAGGATCCCGCACAAACATCATGGAAAATGGGTCCCAGTCGAATCGGCTGAAAATGTAGTATAATGTAGTTCATGACGTCCTCATGAAAAGTGTCCATAGGCACAAAGTCCAAAAATGGACAGTTTCCGAGTTATAGAGCGTTAAACATCGGAAAAATGGGTTTATCAACTCTCATGGTAGTCTTATGCCCATTTCTACCAATGTAGATTAACTTCTAATCTCGGTTTAACTTACTTTCTATCTTTTTCTAACTTTTAGAACTAGGAAAAGATGACAGGTAAGTTAAACCAAGATCAAAATTAACCTGCGTTGATAGAAATGGACATTAATGTGTAATGGTCATGGCAGTGTCATGGTAGAGTGTGCGAGTGTGTGTGTGTGTGTGAACCCATTTTTCCGATGTTGACGCTCTATAACTCGCAAACTGTCCATTTTTGGACTTAGTGCTCATGGACACTTTTCATCAGGACATCATAAACTACTTTATACTAAATTTTCAGCCGATTCGACTGGGATCCATTTTCCACAAGGTTTGTGCGGAGTTCTTTGAATAAAACTCTTTTGCTGCTTTTATAGTATAGGAAAAACGTCACTATAATTCACAGGTGAGCCTCGAGCGCCTGGTGAACGCGTTTCCGTTAGCCACTAATTAAAATATTTCGTTAAAGTAAATATTCACAAATTCATAAAAATTAATTCATTTAATTCGATGGCGGATATTCGCCCGTAGAGGAAGGATAAAATATTTCTGGTGAAATTGGGCCAGCCACGCATTAACGAACGAATTTCCTGTTTCGTTACACAGGACGGACAGCCGGCTTTACTTGGGGTTTCCTATCGATACTATCAGCCGCCGCCGCGGCGGCGTAATTGAAATTCGCGGCGCGCAATTAAATACGAATAAAGATTAAGATATCCGTATGTACGTTATATCTGAAAACCCGACGGACGTTTCACCGCTTCTCTCGTTTAGCCACTAATAAAATCTAAGTTCCGTGTCTGTTTATACGTGGCGAAAAAAAATTATGGAAAATCGCTGTGGTATTATCGAACATGGGAGAAATCGATATAATGACGCAACACTCGGAGGATCGCCGTAAAATCCATCCTTTCCCCGTCAGTCTTCCACCGCGTCGTTAAGTGCAATTTATAATATCGGATGTATTTAAGGTAGCACATTATTAGTGCAATACGTAACGAGCTAACGACAGGATTAGTTAGTGGTCGATGAAACGATCGCAGTACCCTGACTACTGCGATTGTAGCGTTATATCGTGTGATTGTGTGTGCACGAGCGTATGTACTACGTAGACACACGCGAGGAGAGACCGCACGTTCGCACGTTCACGTTGGGCGAACGACCGGCTCTCCGTGAAAGTGAAAAAAAAATGACGACGATTCTGCGATGCGTGAATTATAGCCCCGCGCTCTGCACAGGTATATCCAGCTCTTTCCTACGCCGAGATGCCGCGCGCACTTCCGGTTTTCTATCGGAGCTCTTTGGTAATAACAAGGAAGAAAGTTTGCCGCGTCTCGCCGCTGCCTTGCGTTTCGTGTTTCATTTCATCTGCAGAGGGATGCACGACGCGCTTCGTTTCCGGACTGACTTTGCATAATCACGATTTCGTAATTGTTTCGGTAGGAAGACGCATTGCCAATTACAATGTAATCTAAAAGAGTTGTTTCCAAAAGTAAATTATCCTTTAATAACTTTCGAAATAATTTTATATATATTTTTTTTTAACGCGCGTGTATTTGCGTCGAAAACTACTTGTTTAATTTTAACAAAATCGTCAATTGTCCGAATTGTATTTTTAATTCGGTCTTATTATAATTTTTTTATTCCGGTCGTCTTTAGAAAGATGACGACGCTTTACGGCTTTCCCGTGACAAAAGGGAAGCCGATCGCGTAAACTAAATTTCTGCGCCATTATCTACTTCCACGTCTCCGACGTTTCAACCCCGTTCCAGGTTTGTTCGCGAAAGGAAGGAAGGCAGGGGTGAGGGGGGTGGGTTCTCTTATCCGTCGTCGCTGTGGCGGGTGTCGGTGGCGCGACTGTGAAGCGAAGGCAATTATCGTAGCGAAACTTGAACGTGGCAACGCGCCCCGAGGACGACGGGCTTTCGGCTTCGATGTGTGGGAGCGGAGTGTTTGGCGTCTGATACGACGGGTCAGGTCCCCGGGGATTCTCAGGGACTCAAACGGGACTATCCCGCTGCCGCCTCTCTCTCTCTCTCATCACAGTTAATTACCAGTCCTCGACCGCGCTCGGAGTCGGTCTCTCTTTCTCACTCCGTTTACCTTAGTCCCTTTAGTCCTCCTCGAACCCATATCGCGCTTCCGCCGAGCGATCCACCCTCAATAATCCACGACTGTACCGTTTCCTACTGTTCTGGAATCTCTTTTCCAACCAAAGTAACTTTCGCGAAACACGCGGTCGATTTATTAAACCGCATCACGCGATAAGGAAATTGACAGCCTTTCTTTTTTGTAAATGATTTTATGCATACTAAATTGACAAGAGACTATTTTAAAGATGTATTTTTAAAAGTTATTTTTCTATTGTTTTACGAATATATCTATATTATTTTAAAAATATTATCTTACATCAGTTCTGCTACACACAATCGTTCTATCGTTCTCAAATCGTAATAAAAGTTTCCATCCAATTATTATTAGACTTTCCCTGCATTAAGCGCACTCGGGAGATACACATCTTACACGAGGCGCGTTCCTTAACGCGAAAAATACCGTACGGATATCTATATGGGTTTTTTTTTTTTCCATACGATTAATGGATTCGATTCGTGCGGGATACAGGGCGCGTCAGGCATGGCGGGACAAAAATGTAGATTCGTACACATTTCAGCGGTGTCACACGTATAGACGTTTTTAAGAGTTACGTGCAATCAATAGGCGACAGGGAAACCCCCGTGGGAATCCAAGCGAGCGAATCGTAGCGGGATTGAACGCTTGAAATGGAATAATATCCAATAATCTGGCAGCCGAGAGAACGGGATAAAAAGGGACGTTTTATCGGGGCATCGCAGCATCCAACCAAGCGGTATCCGACCATTTCCGCCAAGCTCTCGGAGCCATTTCGCCCCGTTCTCGGCTAGCCGGCAAAATTAATTATTGATTTCGGATACGCGCATTCAGTCGCGGCGGACAGCTTTTAATCGAAAACGAGCCATCCGTCGCACACCCATTTCCGAACCGCTACGAATTTAACAACGGATCGATCTGGAAATGCCCGTTGTATTACACTATTACCGCCGCTCGTGGCAAAAAGCCTTCGACCATTCGCGGTTATCGTTTCAATTCTTTTATGACGATAATTTTCAAGGTACATATACCGACACATATACCAGATGAAAAGTAAAAATTTCGCTAGAAATTTTAGCTTTAACAAATTCGAACTAAACAACAAATCAAATAATTCAATCACGATGCAATTATATACATGTTAAATTGAATATTAATTTGTTAATAATGGACATAGTGGATATAACTTCTTGCATTAGTTTAACTTATATTTGTCTATCAGGTATTTAGATTGGCAAAATAGTAAGGTAGGAAGATGAAACAATATATGAAAATACGTACAGGATGAGAAACATAAGGAACGCAGGAGCATCTGGAGAAAGGTATCTAAACTGCCTTCTTATAACTGGTTTATCCGTTAAGGGAAGTAGAGGGCTGGGACAGAGGACTTGGCAAGAAGTTACCAGCTGCTGGTTTCGTGAGATTTTCTTCCGATGTGCCGTTGAAGTCTATCAGCTAAATGAAATTAGGAAACAATATTTATATTTCATGTTTTAAATATTATATATGATGCAATATATATTATATATGATATAATATATAATATAGATATGATAAAAATAATCAAGGAAACCGTATTAAAGGAATACAATACGAAAGGCTAGATATAAATTCACTCTGTTTTCTTTCTTCTTAATTTTCTTTTTAAAGACGGCAAATGAATATATATAACCAAACATATACACATATTTTTGTGTGTGTTTAGGATACAAATTGTCTCATTTCTTGCACATTATTTTTAACAACAGATTCTTTAATCAATATCGACATTTTCTTAGTAGAAACCATGTAGTACGTACGTATGTATGGACATACATTTCAATTAAATTTTATTTTAACACTAAATTATTTCGTAATAAAAATTGTATTTTTTTAAATAAAATTTCAGCATAAAAATAATCAAGGGAAGCGTATTAAAGGATTAGAATATATGAAAAGGTATAAATCCATTCCAAGTTTACTCTTTCCTCTTAATATTTTCTTTTTAAAGACGATAAATGAAAATATTAAATATACAGACGTAAAGTATTTGCTCCGTGTGTAAAGTGGAGATATAATTTACATTTGCATTACACGCTATTCAATTAAGAAATTTGTTTTTCTCTCCGCGATCTAGTGTACCGTGAAATCGTTTGTTATATCTTGTACCTGTATACATATATAAATTTTAAGCAATATCTTTGATCACCTCTTGTAATTCTGCCTTGCTAAACATGTGAAACAATTGTCCGGGCGTCATTGTCATCACTTCGATATTGGTGTCGTTCAGTTTCTCTTCCATTACTTGCTTCAATATTGTCAGCGCAGCTTTCAGCGCTTCCTTAAGCGTCATGGACTGCAACAACGATATTTATTAGAAAACTCGCAGTTTCAACAAACAATGATTTAACTTAATTTAATAATAAAGCAAATTACCTTATGATATACTTCTTGAAGATTTTGTTGAGCTCCTTCGCTACCGGATCCTATAGCTTTTGCATCAAATTGAACAAAAGTACCAGATGGATCCATGTGATACAGCTGTGGTCCTTTCTCGTCGATTCCAGCGAACAACATTGCTACACCAAATGGTCTGGACATGGCAGTGCCATCATCGTCGCTGTCTCCAAACTGTATAGCTAAATTAGATACAGCTTGAGCAGTCGACTCCACCGTCATTCTTTCGTTGTAGACAAACCAATGATTCTGGCATTCGACTCGAGCTCTGTCGATCATTGTCCGCGAATCGGCCATCAAACCGGACGCCGCACATCCTATATGTCTATCGATTTCTGCAATTTTTTCTACGGTTGTCGGTTCCATTAAAGAAGAAGTAATACGTTTCTCCACTGCCAGAACGACTCCCTCCGTTGTGGCGATTCCGATGGCGGTCGAGCCGAGCTTTATAGCTTCTATGGCATACTCGACTTGAAATAATCTTCCCTCCGGCGAGAAGGTGTTTACTCCACGATCGTATTCGGAACGCGTTAGAAACATCTAGAAACAAAAATTAAAAGATTCATAAGTTAGACATACGTGACATATGTATATAAATTGTTACACTTAACTATTTTACATTACATTCGATTATTTGTGTCTAAATTGTCAAGAAAACAATGTAAAATCGAAATTATGATCAAAAACGTCCTGTAGAAACAAAATTTGAGGTTAAGCGCTACTAAAAACGACAAATATATTTGATAAAGTTATAAAATTAGGTCATCTACTGTTATATGTAATTACAATGCGGAACGAAACGCTCGAGTATCAACAGAAAGGGATAAAGGCTTAAACTGACAGAATAACAAACTAAGTAGATCGGTTAACCAAGAATGACATGGCAAAACGAAACTGAGTATTCCGCGAATGAATCTCAAGTATGATGACAAATGTGATATTTAACGTAAAGTGTTTTCAAACTCAAGTTACAAGTTTACCTTAAACGCTTTATTTTTATTAAAGGCAGGCGTAGAAGTACAAAATGCCGACTTGTCACAAACGCTAGTCACGGAGAGAGAGTCGCGGATAATTAAGTGCAATGGAGCAGCAGTGGCAGTAACGTAACGTTGGGGGATACTTCAGGCCGCATTTCCAACGGGATACGTCAGCGCTGCAAACAGCCAAGCACAGATCAGAGTTACCAACTCATAACCAACTAGCAACAGTGGCAACTGCTCATTCACGACTGTCGACTGTTTACGATATTCACGTGTTCTGTCCTGTCGATTTGTCAATTGTTGTCGATTGATACGTGCTTGCAAAAAGCTTCTTACAGCGATAAGCGAATAAATAGTGGCGATTTTGTCGATCGAAAATGACGGCAGACATTAACTCGCAAGAATTAAAAACGATTATAAATAAAAAGGACTGGGATCAGTTACTGCAATATGTCAAACCGAAGTATTTTGTTAGGGAGGGATCAGAGTACGTATGAAACAATATTTACCTGCCTGCCAATTGACCTGAGATAATTGTGTAAAATATATATTACATTATTACGTTTCAGGGCGATGCCTGATGCAAGTATCTTGGCACAGATGTGTCAGTTACTCGTAAGCGAGGATACCTCAGATGAGATTAAAATCTTGTGCCTAAAATGTGTGGGAAACTCTTGCATTGATAGTTACAAATGTAAACGACATACGATAAAGAATGTGGAATCTGTTAAATACAGCAAAAATTTATATGACGAATTAGTTGAAAGTGACTTGTGCAAGCAAGACTGCGACTGTGACTATCCCCATGATTCTCATTTTCCCTACGATGGAGTGATAGAATGGGCTGTAGATTACGTTACGACGCATGGCAATTTCAGAGAACGCTTGTTTGAGCCAAAGTTGGACATCTTTAGGCTCAGCGTTCAATTTTTAAGCAATTTATTATTTATGCAAGGTCGTTCGAATGCAACATTTGCAGACAACGATACTCTGAGCTGTTTAAATTGTAATAATTTGAAACGAGCCATTTTGTAAGTTTACATATAATTATATATATTTCTTATAATCTTTTATGTCATTTGTTGGAGATTATTTTAATTATTTTTAGGAGGTACACGCAATATGGTGATTTCATCACAGCCCTCGTAGTTGCCGATGTGGCTTGCAAATACGTGTACAATGCGTTACAAACCAACTATTTAACAATGGATGAGAAAGATCTATGTAAACTATTACTGAAACCTTCCGATAATGAGATTCCAGCTGCAATTGATGCGCTGTTTTTCCTGTTACGTCGACCGAATGTATTTGAAGATGTGTATAGTAGTATGACTATGAGCGACAAGATATTGTTACTTGATATTATCCATGATTATTACGTCTGGGAATCTTGGGAATCTAATAATACAGTGCTCAAAAAGGAATCGGCTGAGTTTCTGGCGTTAACATTTTGCAAGAAAAGCGATCTTATTTTGAAGACCGTGGACACATATGTGAATAGCGTAGATCCCACAGAAATTATCCTTATTCTTCAAATTCTGGGATTTCTTACTATACGATGCGAGATCTCAGAGAATGTCAGGTGTTTGCTTATTAACTGTAAATGTAAGTACAATCAGTTTCCAGTACAATCTCATTGGATGTAAAACTGATAAGAGTTTGCATTGTATTTGTAGACCTTTTGATGTCCTTACATATGATGGGAAAGGAAGCAGATAATTATTTTACTCCGATAACGCAGTTAAGTAAATCGGCACCTCATGCTCCAGGGAGGAGTGAGGCACGCGAGGCATTACTGGGTGATCCAGAACACCATCCCGCATATGGCTTTAAAGCGGGATTGATACGAGTCATTGCAAACGTAGTATACAGAAACAAAATGTGTCAAGATCTGGTAAGTGTGATTACATGAAAAATTCATGTTAAATATATTTTATGTATGAAAAAGGTAAATGTGAAATTTACGATATTTATCTGGCGTCGATAAGAAACGTTCCTTACCGATCTTAAGCATTTGATTCGGACAAGTGCGCCTCGTGGCCGTGAGAAGAATTAGAACGTCATATTCTGAGCGATCGTGACTATCGATATGTATGTAATAAAATTTAAAAAATAGAAAACAAAATGGAAAAAGAAAAGATAACTAAAATACACACATATATCCAATTTTTATTATTGCTATTCATGATAAATTCTTTAAATTCTTAATTTTTTACTTTTTTTAAATTATAATTCTTGATTTCTTTTTTATATCGATTCTTAATTTTTTACTTTTTTTAAATTATAATTCTTGATTTCTTCTTTATATCGATTCTTAATTTTTTACTTTTTTTAAATTATAATTCTTGAATTCTTTCTTTTTATCGTAAATTGATGCTTGCAGGATGTTTATCGTACTCCCATTTTTTAACTATTATATATTTACGACAAATACGTGTTTGGTCTATTTTTTTTTCTAACTTTCTAATTTATCTACAGAATGATTAATCTTTATATAAATAAATAGCGTGTTATATAAGCTTGACAAAAAATCAAGTACCTTAGCAAATATTCAGCTATACGTTGCGAGAACACTCGGTGTATCTTAAGCTTCGCACGAGAGGAAAAAGAATGATCATACAAGCGCCTGTGTTGGCCGCCGTCTGAGTCGCCGGCCACACAGAACGCTCCGGCGTTATTCCGTTACTCAAAGGGATTAAAATTATACCCCCGTGAATGATGATAGGTTATTTTCAAAGCAAGTAGAGAACCTCGACAGTTACAAAATATAAATTTGGCTTTTGTTGCGCGCCACGCTTGTGCGCTATGCGTGTACCGGTAAATCGATATTTCTCTCCCGCTGATTGCATCTCCCGCGCGCGCGGATGATACGGAATACGCGAACAAAAGATACGCAGTAGTACGCGCGGCCTGTCGTGTCGGACAAAGCGAAATTAAGTGTTCCATCTGACTGAGAGATGCGGCGAGATGATCGAAATCTGATATACGCGTTGCGAGTTTAGCGGATCCGCGGGATGACAAAGTTCGCGTCGCATGCATATTGACAGATAAATTAGTTATGATGAATCAGAGCGGAAACACGAGCCTGCGGGCGGAACATTAATTCGGTCTCTCCTAGTATCAAGGATGACATGTACATCGCCGTAGTCACGATAGTAAGATGTAGATAATTTTTTGTTCATCATCCTGTTGTAATAAATCTGTCATTGGTACGAAAATATTTACGTTAAGCATCAACACCAATCGATCGCGCGTATGTGTGTGTGTCAAAAAGGTTCGCGAACCACTTCAAAACATTTTTTTTAACTATAAATAAGTATAAATAACTATAAATAAGTATAAATAAAGAATTATAACGATGTAACACGTGTGATTTCAGTTTCGTGAAATAGATGGAATTCCATTGCTTCTGGATTGTACTAGCATAGACGCGAGGAATCCACGTAAGTGTAATTTTACTTTACTTTTGCCTTCTTTTTCTACTTTCATTCGTTTTATCATCGATAATTTATATGCAGTTATCTCACAATGGACCACTCTCGCTTTGAGAAATTTGTGCGAAGACAATCCTGAGAACCAGGAAATTATTAAAAAGTGTAAAAAAACGGGCGTGTCAGATAATCCTGAGTTGAAAGAGATGGGATTAACTCTGCACGAAGATGCGGATGGGAAATCGATTCGTATCGCTCCTCTCCAACGCGATTAGGAAGATTTACCGTTTTCCAGAACGCGAGATCGCTCCCGGCGATCAATCAGTTCGATAATTATCAAACTATTACTTGCTTGTATCGATAATATTCGCGATAAGATACAATGATTGGTTTATCTTGGTATGCATAAATAATTATTATTCCAATTAGTTCGACTGAAATGTATCCCCTGCTGTACCACTCGCTAGAAAAACGACATCGCAATTACAACGATTTGTGTCATTAGACGAAATACGATGTGGTACGGTATAGAGAGATATTTTATCTATTACATTCACATGACCGAGTGATTTATGGTACAATAAAAGCTGCTGTGAGAGAGTTCACGGTCTATTAGTAATTGCTAATGTAAGTATACAACTGCTATCGCTGATCGTTCAATTGCGATGCGAAATGGATTTTGTCTTTTCAAGTAATGCTCTCTCGTCAAGATTTCATTATAAATGATAATAATTTTTAAGCGGGTGCAAATCAATAAATAAATTTGCATTAAACAAATAAACGTCTGGGTTCACGTTTTTCCCCCCTCTCACTCGAAATTGCTCAAGACGGAGACACGGGGATTCCTGTTTAAGAATTATAGAACCTCCAATTACGCTGTCAAGAGACGCCAGTGTTTTAATAAATAATTTCTCTATTAATTAATTGCACGTGTCTTAATTCCCCCCCTTGTCCCCGCGATTCCCGTTTTAAGACGATAATTTCTCACGTCCGTGGCGGTTTCTCATCCTCGCGAACAATTTTACGATGAGGAACGGCGACGTCGTCCTGCGCGTAATAGGTGTTTATTAATGTCATCCGCGAGGCGCGGGCAAGCAAGCGAGCGAGAGGAATCGCGTGTGGTGGGTGAGAAATCCGCCTGCGCGTACCAACTTGTGCGTTAATTATACCGGAAGTTTCGAAATACCCGAGAGAGACAGTTACGTTTTCCTTTCTAATGGAATTCTCCGGACACGGCGCGGTTTCCAGCGGCTCAACGACGGGACCGACCCCCCGGTATAATATCGGTAAATAAATAATATTAGATAATTATCTCTTCGAAGGGCATGCGCTATGTGCGTTCTACCTAGCCGTGATACGCGACGGCATGCGCGTCTGTGGGATTTACGAAATGTAATAATAGGTCTCCGTACGTAATATGCGATCTAATCGAGCATGACCAATCGCTGATTTACGGCGCGGTTTCAATGAAGAATAAGATTACGGATAGTTTGTGGCGTATATACATAAGAGTCCACTTTTATCCCATAAATACATGATCGAGTGACACTCGCAAATATGCACGTTGTAAAAATCGTTCCTTTACTCTATCGGTTCCCGCTGCGACAAAGAAGGATAGATTTATATCGTGCGAGTTGCTAGAGGTCTTTGTAAGCGAGAGCCGACTCCTCGATAAAATACCTCAAGTTTGCGCGTTGCGCGTATGAAAGTAGACGGGTATATACCGTACGCGTCCCGCGTACGAACGTTCCGTAAATTGCTTTTGATTTAAATATCGGCCCATCTCGCGGACGATCAATCTCGAATGTGCGTAATGGCGAGCAGTTAACGCATCAATTTATCAGTTAATTATACACGCGGTTAATTGCCACGAGTAATTATTTCCCGCGCAAGAGACGCGCTCTCCGTATACGTCTCTCGATAGCTGGACGAACACGCAGCGGAGAGACGGAGTTCGAGGAAGCGAGACGAAATTCCTGCCGCGTGAGCCACTTTGATCGCGCGGTCAATGTATCGATAGAACTGGCTCCCTGTGATCTTCTTGAGAAGAACATAGGCATTCAAAAGCTGAAACCAAAACACAGCGCAAAAGGCGCTAAAAATATGAAGGACATAAAATATATACTCAACTATGATGAATACTAACATCGCTTTTCGTAGCTCACCAAATTCTATTAATCCGTTGATATGTTTCGTTTCTATTTTTAGCTCCATTCTTAATCCCCATTCAATTTCAATGGCGCATACAAAATGAAATGTCATTTTAATTGCGCCAACAATGATAAATCTTATTCTCATTTGCCATTGAAATAAACCGGGGGACTGAGGAGGGAGGTAAGAATAAAGAGTTTGATTCTGTGCTAAAAATAGAAAGGTGATCGTAAATTCTGCAACAAGACGAGATCGAGCTATGAACGAACCGCCCACTTGTAAGAATCGATCGGAGTAATTAATTAAATTCGATGCAATACTGCGTCCGCGGTAACAGAAATATCTTCCAGCGCGTTGAGGATTTCGTCGATCCGCCAACCTTATTAATATTCATAGACGCTGACGAGGGAAGCGTAAAAAGTGCTTGGTCGTGCGTGAGATCGCTCAGGTGCGTAAATTCTGATCGGCTCCTCGATAATCAACTCGTTGACGCAATAAATTCCGGCGAAAGATGGTCGAATAGAAAGAGAGGGAGGAACCGAGAACGGGGCATGGCCCCAACTCTAGATAATGTCGTCTATTTGTTTCCAATTATACTTGTATTTCGAGTTATACGAACCGTTTATCGTAATAATGTTCGATTAAAGAAATATATAAATATACAGGCGTAGATTGGGGAAGATTCTCTCCTCTCTTTCGCATCTTTGCCTAAAAAATGCTAAGAAATTTTTGTGATCAACATCTTGAAGACCATTCACGTAACCTTTTAAATTACTATATGAATAGATATATGCAAATATTATATGTGCAGAAGTATAAAATTAAGCGAGTTTTCTGTTTGTATTTACCTAATATAGAACTATTTTTGCAAGTCTCTCTTATGACTCTCTATGTTATACATTTTATTTAAAAAATTAGATTAATATTAGGCTGTTGCGGTGTAAAGACCGAATTTAACAATTAAACTTCTACTTTTCCCTCTAAAGGTAAGTAACATATCTAACAAATCCTTTCTTTTCTTCATTCTTAATTAAAAAAAGGCAATTTCCTACTTAAAAATTTTTTCTATTTTAAATAAATTGATTTCTTCTAAATTAAAAGATTCCCCTTCTTACCTGAAGTTTGTGAATACGCGCTACTAAAATAAAAATGGAGATTGACAATGAGAGAAAAAAATTGAGAAAATGCTCGAGCTCGATGATCTCATACACAATTCATCCTTCTCTCAGTGAAGTCTTATGTAAATCTATAAAGACAAAGAAGTCTACTGCATCAGCGTGATGGATAGATCGCCCAGTAGACACTCGGGACAGATAATCGATCTAGCAAACGAACTAGATTCTCGTATTAATAGAGGCTGCAAATTGAAGCCCGCTTCGGCGCCTAATAAGTCGCGGATTCTCTCTGCGATACGGGGCTCGAACGAGGCCTCGCGCGCGCGCGCGCGCCTACGCGTGATTTCTCTCAAAGAACCCCGACACGGCAATATATTTCCTATGCCCTCGTATACTTTACATACATCGTATCCGCTGCGCATTTGTACGAAAGACTCGAATCGACGTATAAAGGGTCGTGCACAACACGCTGCCGAAGGCCGAGTCGGGATCTTTCCTAGAATCTTAGGGATCGGTGTCGTAAAATGAGACTAATCCGAGTTGCCGTAAGCTTCGGGAGAGACCGAGTTTTCCGTTGAAACGAAATTTTTATGTCAAGAAAGTTGGAAATTCATTCTAACAGCGGTGCCACCGAATATACGATATATTATCGTTCAAGGGGGCCGGGGAAGAATCGCGGAAGAAAATGACAAAGCGTATGGTTAATTATAAACGTAAAGAGGACTCGCGCACCGAGAGCACGCAGACCGCGCGATATATTTTAACGACTGCCGCACACGCGGTGCGTGAGCCGTAAATGTTACGCCGAGCCAGAGATTCGTGTAATAGCCACTAAAAGCGAGTTTCGTCCCTTTATGGATCGTAAAGGCAAGGATATTTGGAACGGGGGAAACCACTGCTTAAATTGACCCGACTCGCAGTTAACTAAAAGAGCGTGAGATCGTGTCTTAGGTATATACCGGAATGATCCCCGAAGAGAGACACCATTGTCAGCACGACGATTACCTTTTAGCGAATGATCTTAAATCCTTCACAACGACAAGTGGCACAGTTCGCGGTATAGAAGAAATACAATAATCTATAATAATTATTATTAATATATTAATATATAATTAATAATAATAATAATTTCCAGGCCTGGAGCTGTCGAAACAAATATATAAATTTAAACGATATCTAAAGAATATTGCAGAGATATTTGTAACAATGATTAACCAGCGCAGCTAATTATGCGATTCGCTTTCAATTGCGTTTCGGTAAATTAATACCTGGGTAAACTAATCCCGTTTCGATCCGAATATGTATACGCGCATTGTCCGAGCGATGAAAAGTCCGCTCTAATTACCCCGTGTAAACGGAGCCGCGCGTCGATTTCTCGAGAGACGGACACGACGTCGGTCGCTCGTAAACAATGACAATAGGGCCTGCCGTCCGCGAGCGGATGCTGCCGATGCCAGCCCAGCAGCCCTCATGATGGCCGCCTGCGATCCTGGTTCGTCCGTCGAGTTAATTAATCGCACCGAACGATCTCCATTGAAATGGAATCTGGATAAATTTTCCGTGCTGATGCTGCCGGGCTAGCATGTGGGTATTATCTTTACGACCTCTTCAAAGAGGAGATGAGACGTCGGGGGGTGCAGCGAGAAGCGCAAGGGGGGTAGGGGACGCATGCGCGCGATACGGCCGCCGCCGCCGCCTGCTGGAAACGGTGCACCGAAACCGGAGAACCTGTTATCAGAGAAACAGTGGCCTGGGACTTGGTCCAATTATCATGCAGGCGAGACACCGAGGTCCCGTCTGCGAGACGCGTCGTCCTCGCCGCGCTTAATTCCGACTCGCTGGCGAGGCCTCGTGTCCGCGCGTGGCGTTCACTACGCTGTGGAGATCCACGACTTGGATCGGTGAGGTGCTCGTTAGACACACCGCATACAGAATTAACTGGAAACTATGATTGCTCGATCTAGCTATCCATGTCGACGGGTCTCCAACTACGGTTACACGGTGTAGATAGAAATAATAGCTAACGTGACGACGCGTTTTGCGCGTAACGTGTTCTCGATACGCGCGCGCAGTGTGCTTTCGCCGTCTACTAAACGCAAAAGTGTCAGGACATGTTAAAGACAGCTCGCTGCCCGACGTGATATTAAATGCAAACGCAAGTCATCCGAGAATGACTTCGAGAAAATGCGTCTCGCCGTTATTTCTTCGCAGCTACGCGGATGGAAATTACAGCGTGACGTATCGAAGGTGTTACGTGTCGATCGTGCGAGACACGATACGCTCTCCATCTTCGGAAAACTTTCGAGTCGCTCGACATTCGTGTGACGTATGACTGTGGAAGACGCGATGCACACAGGTGATACTCTTCGAGGAGAAAGCGCCGCCCGTTATTATCAGACGAGACCAAGTGGCCCAATTTGTATCGCGCCGTTAAGGAGCGACGGAGATGATTTATGGAAACGGTAGACGCGCTAATTGCCTGCCGATGTGATTCATCGGGTGGTGTCGTTACATATCCGAGGACGTCGGTCACTTTGTGAGGAAGCGGCCTGAAATAATCTCATCGATTGCAATGAAGTATGCAGTTGCTTAATTACGATACGGCATAATGAGGGAGATTCGATGCTTGCTCCTGAGGTAAGATCAATTGAGCCATATTTCTGAAATGCCCTTGATTTCACATTTCGTACGTTTATTACCCATCGAGTGATATATTATATATTTATCTATAAATTTATTAATTTTATCCATTGTATTTATATATAAATTTATTATATCTATTTAGAAATAATTTTAACATTACATTGCATGTATTTATGATAAGTTCTCATCTCAGAGCCGCTCAGGACCGCTCGCTATTCGCAAAAGTGGTCAGGTCGAAACGCGTTATCGCGAAGCGGAGCGCTCCAAGTTCCCTGAAAAGCGTTAAATCAGTTATCTCGAATGTTCGCCTGGCGTTTCCTCGTGCGGCCTGCGCTTGCTTTCGACATCATCATTTTCTCCCGTTCTCACGATCTTTTCGCGTCTTCGCGCTCGTGTTATTCCTCTTTCGATTTCACTCACGTCGTTTACCGTTTCCATCCGTGTGGCGGCTCTTAAAATCATGTATATTTCCCGTGGCGGGATAGGCCGGACCTTTTTTCTCCGTTCTCCGAGAGTCTCGTTTCGCCGTCTACCGCCGTCTCTCTCCGCCGGGTTCTCTTTTCTCTCGCGCGTTCCTCTCTCATCCCGTTCTCTCCCTCCACTCGAAAGCCCCGGTGTAACAATGGCTGCCCTCTAATTATCGGAAGACCGCGGCACTTTAAAAAGATCCCGAGAGCCCATCACGGGATTCCGTTTCGTTCGCTCCTTAAAATTTCTCTTCCCTCCCTCCCTCCCACCCTTCCTTCCTTCCTTACGCTCTCTCGTCTTCTCTTTCTCCGAGGCGTCCGAGACGTCGGTCTCAGACGGACAAAAACAATCAACGTGATGATCGTTGCTCGTGGAAAATTAGTTTAGTCTCACGAGAGCACCTATATCGCGAATTCGCAACAACCGTTCGGTCCTTGGTCGGATCCTTTGGATCCGTGCGCTTTACAGGATGTGAGAAATGATGAAAATAATCAAAAGATTTGCATATCCTAAAATAATCAATTCACTCACATCTTGGTTTTCCTCTTTATCCTTTACCGTAAACACGTCAGTTTGCAGACTAGTAATTTCTGTTATATTATTAAGGATATACTCGCGACGAGTGCTCGTTATTATAAAATGCAACTCCCCGATCGCTCTAAGATATGTCTACATGGATGTTATATATGTTACTCAAGCTTTCTAGTATCGGTCTCTCGAGTGCGCGCCAGCCGGCCAAGTGCGAGATCATGACGGCGCTTTCCGATCGGCGAGAAAGATCGTAGAAGGGAGAAAAGCCACGCCAATAAAGAGAAAATAGCGGCCGTACGACGAGAAGCGCGAGTCGGAATGGGCGTAACCCAAGGCGAGCTCGCTCCGTACCTGTTGCTCGTTGCTTCCTATTAAATACTCTCAGCCGACCCACACTAGAAAGGACTCACGTCTGCGTTAGTAACCAATGACTAAGAGCGAGGAGAAGTTCTTTTCCACCCTTTCCACGCACACGGTTCTTTCTCTTCCTCGTTCGGTTCCTTCTTCGGGATCGCCTCGAGTCGCCGCTTCCAAAAGCGACGACGTTCGCGCTTAAAACCGGACGCACGTGCGCACGTAACCGCGACGATTGCGCTTAAAAAAAAAAATCCACGCTTTCTCGTAGATTCCGCCATCGGTTGATTTATGAGAGCGCGGCGGGAGGTAGAAGATTTCTAATCGTGAAACTCTCACGGTTAACACTTCCGCGATTGAATCTCGAGATACGATTTATAATGTTTTTTTCTTTAAAAATATAAGGTCTTTTGTCACTGAAATGTCGCTATTAGCCGTAAATCCCTTTTAGAGTAAACTTCTCCATTAGCTCTATTATTCACCCGGTTTTTCTTTTCTTTCGTTACATGGTTGTAGACATGGTTGTTCGCCCCATTTTTCGTTCGGTTTTCGTCGCTTCCCCTATGCTTTTTTGTCACACTATTTTTCTTTAGTGATATCTCTTTGTGCACTTCTATTAGCGGTTTGTATTTCGAGCAGATGTTTGTCGGGTACAATGTCTTCTACATGCTAGCCAGTTTAGGCCTCCGGGCGGCATTGTATCCGCCGAGATATAAAAGATTGGGGTAGGCCCTTTCGGGGCCTTAACAACGACACACCGCGAAAGAAACGTGTTTACTCTATTCGGGACGGACCGCGCGCTATCTCGAGAGGGTATAAGCTAGTCGAAATTTTCTGAAAAAAGATTCTCGAACGAAAGCGTTAATGACGCCGCGTTTTTTATATAAATTTGCACATTAAATATTTAGGATATCTTACCTGACTTTATCTAGATTTAAGACTGTGATTTTTCGGTGAACCCTAACGAGTTAGAGGGAAGTGTGAGCTATTCGTCTCAGTAATTTCGAGTATTTGTACCTCTACATTTCGACCATCGATCGTCCGGCTAATAATGGAGTCATAAACGACCTAGCACGGCCGTGGGGTTCCTAGCATAATGCGGCTCGAATTAGAGACTCCCAGATAATTTATCTAAGGGCGGGGCCAAGAAAATCCTTGAACTTCCCCGCAGGTGTAACGTAACTTGAATTTTATCATGATAATGGGAACAGTGCGCCGCTTTACAAACTGCCGCATGAATGTCACGGGACAGAAAATACGACGGACGCGCATGATTAAATAATTTTTAGAATAATTAAAAAAAATATTTCTTTTGCATACTTTCACTGTCGATTTACCGGGAATTGACTTAAGTGCAGTATTTCACGCGTCCGTGGAATCTCTGCAAGAGAGATCGTATAAGGTTCATGCCAACATATTGTCGTGACATCGGCGGTGACAGTCGTTATTACGTCGCATTGTCCGTAAAGCGTTGTTAATTAAACGGTGTTATAAATTACCGGCTATATCGTAAAGCTAATGACGTTCCGTTAAAGTGCTACAGCGTGAAAACTGCGCGCTCGAAATTCACGGTGGGCTGTAAACATTTTTACGGTGTGTGCTCGTCCGTTACTCCGCGCAAGAGAACCCTCGATCGCGGGATGAGCGAAACGCGAGAAATCGCAAGAGCCGGCGCGGTAGCGAGCAAGATGAGTATAAAATAGCAGATTCACAATGAATTTTTGTAGTGCCGGCTTTGTCTTTTGTTCGTGTTTTATATGTACCTATATTCTATATCCCGTGTAATTGTGACGCAACGTAACTTCCGGCACATCCGCTATCGCCTCCCCATAACTGTAAAATTATAATTATTATCGGTAGACAATTCTATAGAACAATTTATACGTATTCATAGAGAAAATCCAATCCTACGTGAACGAGTCTCTTTTGCTGGTTGCCTATATCGAATGCGTCACTCTGCTCAGCCAGACATGTTTCCTGTCGTTTGTCTGGCTCACACAAATAAAATGATAGAGCGTTATTGTCACGAATTGCATCGTGCGCTACCATTAACCTCGCATTTGTATACTATACGCTCCATTTTTTACATTTTTACAAGATGAGAACGTATAATTTCAAGATCTTAGAAACGGAGAAGGGAAATAAAGAGTCGAGATCTATACACGGCTGGCAATAAGGCGAGGAAGGTATATACTTAAATTAAGTGTGCTTCAGCCAAAGATGGTTTCACGCCGGATCCTCATCAGAATCCGCGTCCTTCTTTTCGAAAATTTCGGAGCTCGCGTATTTTGTAGCGTTGCC